AAGAATGGGCTCCGCATTTGTCCCTTCTTTTGTTATCTGCTCGTAAAAAATAAGAGTGCCTCCTAAAAATTTCATTGCTAATATGATGCCTCAACACAGCTTTTAACATCCCCCTGTACCACTTTCCTTTTCAAGAAGAAGTAACAGAATTTTTTTCCTGGTTATAATTAGCATGTAATTATTACTTGCAGGAATAGCTATAAATATATATAACTGGTGGCTAGCTTAGTAACCAACACACATAATCATTATGCAATTTTCTTTAATTTTTCTGTGCACAAAGGCCTCATAATTCTGAAAAAAACAACTAAAGAGTCTAACTAGGCTCTGCTTATAATTTATGCTAATTGGTTTCAATCGGGAAAAAAAGGGACTTACTTATATAACATAGGAGGTGGAGGTACTGCTCTCAGTGGTAAAGGGGTATGCAAATATTTCACATACCACTCAGCACTTTGGGCTTGAATACATCACAAATTATTGCTTAGCCTCCTGCTTTGGCATGTCATGAAGTAAAAATAAAAGAAGGAAAAAAAACCTAAAAAGGCAAGATCCAATGTAGGCTTTAGTGGCACAAAAGCACAGGTCACCACATGATGAAGTCTGGTATTTTCTTTTATCAGCAGTCCCTTTTGCTAACCGCAGCCTTCCCAGGTCAAGGAACTCTCATCTTCATCGCTAATAAAGAAATGATTCATCCGCGAGGTGACCTTCCTGATCCAGATGCAGAATGCAGAGCTGCAGAAAGAAGCCTCATAGAAAAGATGTACGGCCTGGTTTCCTGAAAAATTACCTCACATATAGACCTAATGTGTGTCTGAGCGCTGTCCGGACCCCCTGCCCTTCCCGAGGTGTCTCCTGCCTAGGACATGGCACCGAGAAGCTCGGGCTTGGTCTGTAACCTTGCCTGAGTCATTCTATGTCTCTGTGCTTCAGCTTCCCTCCCATAAAACCAGGATAATTGATATCTTTCTTTGTGAAGTGCCTTGAGATCTATAAAGGAAAAATCACTTGTGTAAGAATAAGATATTATTAACTAACAATCTCATAAAGCTCTGCTAAAACAGCACTAAGTATTCTCCAAAATGTATTGCTAAGTAAGTAAAGAAAATCATTTCTTTAAACACTGAAATAAATTCCTTTGCTTTCTAGGGTTTTCTGCTTTTCTCCCTGTGCAGGGATTTATTTAAATTGCTATCAACACGTAAAATATAGTATTAGCTCTGACCTCCCGCTCTAGTGGCTCAGCATACAACAAATAACAAAAATGCACAGTAAAACCACAACATGAGCAGTAACTACTTTTCTTTGAGATATAAGGCGAGTATCTCAGCCTTTCCAAACAGCAATCCAAGCAGGAAGGTGATACCGTAGATCCCAGGGAGCAGTACATTTTTGGCTGAGGAAGAGTAGCAGAATCAAAGACTCACAGAGCTCTCTTGCACAAGCACTAAGGGAAAGGTGGGATCTTAGAGCCTCTTTCCACTTGTTCTTATGGAAGAGGAGGAGGGATTGGCAGACCCTGCATTGAGCTGCTCAGCCTGGAGTCTCAGCAACACCGCAAGCACCAGCCCTGGCAGCTGCTTTCAAACATGCCCTGTAAGCTCCCAAGCCACGGGGGAAGAGCTGGACATGACTGGAAAGAGAGCACAGGAGGGATGGAGAAACAAAGAGGTGTACGGATATGGGAGGAGGTGAACGTGCATCGATCCCAGCAGAAGAAAGGAGGGGACTGAAAACAAGGCACATGTTAAATTAGCTTCTGTCACTAACTGAAGGGATGGCAGAAGAGCAAGGTCCAAGCATTCCCTAAGGGAGGAGGATGGAGTGGTGCTCTAGGGATAGAAGGTGGAGGAGTGTCCACAAGCTGTGACAAACTGCAGTTGAAGGTCCTGCTTTTGAGATAAATAATGCCATTTGCTTCTTATTTTCTCCTGTCTAAAGCCCAGCCCTGCTTTTTCATCCATCACTACTTACCAGGCTTATATAGTACCTCTCCTGTTTCATCTTCTTTCTGCTTTTTGCCTCCTCCCTTCCGAACTTGGTTAGTGCATAGGTCCTTGTATCCCACTTCTTCACCCTAAATAATGATTTTGCTTTCCTAGGAAGGCAGACTGCGTGACTAGGCCCAGGACTCACCTGTGCTTCTCAGCCAGTTGCACTAAGATGGATCCAAGGTCCTCCCAGAGCTGCACAGCAGGACTCTGAGGCCAGGGAGCAAATGAAGCTGCTCCCCAGCTCCTTGCCCTACTCCTCGCACTTGAGTTAACCAATTCTCCTTCTCTTGTAAAGATTCCTATCAGAAACATCGATATACATGAAGTGTGACTAGAAAGGCACGTGTATGAACACACCAGCAGGAAGAGCAGGGCCAGGTTAAGGGCGATGGCCTGTGTTGACAACCAAGGCCCCCCGGGGAACGTACTATTCACCTCAGGGCAGAGGGCTCTGCTTGGGGTAGGCCCCAGCACAGACGACGCATCAGCAGAAGACCCATGGTTTGATAACAGGTGGAGAAGCAAGGTTATGGCCCACTGCAAACACCACCATCCGAACAGAAAGACAAATCACAGCTCTAACGATACCAGGCATGACGAAACGAAGACTGTGGGCAGGGCTTTATGAGGAGGGAAGGAAACATGATGCTGATGCAACAGCTAACTGTCAATTCTTCAATGTAAAAGACGAGCCTGAAAGCCAGTTTATTATCGATTATGAGGAACCCAGGAGGCAAAGTGAGGACTCAGTAGCTGGCATCCCTAGTCCTCAATTTCAGCCAAGTGATCTTGATCAGAGCACTCAGACACACGGGACTTGGTGCACTTTAGTATTTGGACTGGAGAGTGTGAGCAGGAAAAAAATCAACTTACAGACTAAGTTGAATAAAAGAAAATGCCCCTTCCCTTCACAGTGTCTCACATTGAGTTTCGTTACATTTAACTGTGATACTCTTCTTCTAGCTAGTTTTATTCCAGATGACTTTTCTACCAGCTTCACAAGCAAACAGACGACACTTTTAACTATCATGCTGACCACACGCTGAGGGGAACCACGACAATAATACACACATGCATCAGGAAATCTATTCTGCTCTAACCTATCCTGACTCAAAAGCTGGTTGTTATTGCACTACTGGATACAAAGGCTCTGCAGCAGTGGGGTGCTTGGTGGGCTCATTTGCATCTCATTACCCAGCATGCTCTTCCCTCTGAGAGCTATTTTCATAGCAGCATTGTTGTCCAAGCCCTAGGAACAAGTGGGAAGATTTGGTGACTTTGGATGCATGCAGTTCTTTTCTACTTGCTTTGCTCCCCCTTCACAATGAAAGGCTTTGCAAAATGCTGAAAATGAACCAATTTTCCATTTTTTAAGTTGGTACTTTTTTTTTCCCCCAGTAGTTTAAGCTATCAGAAGCAAATCTCAAATAATAAACAAGATTATAGAATCGTGAACCTAATGTTCCTCTCTACAAGGTGCTCAAGCATGAAGGTTTTGATTGGAAAGTAAGAAATGAGATTTAACTTCCTCCTGATTTAAGTTTCGTTTGTATGAAGACTCTATTCCAGTACAATGTGATTGCAAGCTCGTTATTCAGGGAAGGGCAAATATCTTCAATTACAATCCAGTAATAACAGCAGTTTTCTTTGTACGTTGCAAGTCACCACCAGGAGAGAACTGAACATACTGGCTTCTGTCATTGTCTACATCTAAAACTGTGATGATTTCACCCTGTCCAATTCGTTTCAAAAGCTGTAGCTTCCAATTAAAAGTATAACTTGTCAGCCAGGATAAGTGTCTATCGTTTGAGCCAGAGCAGTTTTGGTTTCTGGCAGTTTTACTGCATCAAAGGGCTGATTTACAGATCAGTTAAACATTTTTTTTTTTATCCAGTACTAAAAGGAATAAAATTGCCTCAGACCCAGGACTCAAACCAACACTTTGTTACTTAAGTTTCCATAGTTTTCAATATATTTTATGTAGTTGGAAATAAAATTCCATTCCTCAATGATTTTATAGTTTTTCAATAGACACTTCAAAAATAATATAAAAGAATAAAATATAGGAAAATTTAAGACCCTCAGTAAGATAGGCTTCAAGAACATCTATCATACAAAGACTACATGATACTTCATAAATGTCTATGAATTAAGCATCAAAAGCCTGTGTGAGGTGCAGATTTCGCCCATTTTACAAACAGGAAATCTCAACTATAAAAGTAAAATTAGATGTTGAGGACTAGTGTAAAACATCTTTAGCAGCAGCAGATTTAAAACTCTTTTATCTACAGACTCTCAGACTTGTGTTTTAAGAGCAAGATTGATTTTGAGATTCCTCTTTGGAATAAAATATGGACAGTATGAGTAAAAATCATGTACAAAGATATGACAGAAAATCTCTAGACAGAGAAGAAACCAGTAGTAAAAGGTCTGTTTTTTAAGGCTACAGAGTTCAGTACTTCTTAAAACACGCACAGTGCTCAGTCCTTGGGCCTCCTGTGGCAGGAGTGGCACTTCCCAGCAGGGCTGTGTGACGGTGCTCTCGGTGTTTATGCTGCACAACCCTAGAAGAATTAATTAGACATTCTTGCTCAACCAAATTACTCATTTTACTAGCAGCATCCTTTCTATAGCCCTCTATAACTGGTCCAGAAACTAGTCTGGTAGGATCCAAAAGGAACTTGATGTTCAGCTTATACTTGTTTTAGGTACCTAGGATGTATTTGGTGAAATTAAACTACAGAAACAACAGGAAAACAAACAAACAAACAAAAAATATATATATAAAAGGAATGTATTAATTTCGTAAAACACTTAAAGATGGAAGAAATCCCTGTCAGTGGAATCTACTCCTGGCCCAGCAAACTGGATCCAGCTCCGACTCGCATGGGGCATGGCACAGACATGCAGGAACTGCAGCCTGCTCGATACCAGAGACAAGACTTGGTCAGAGCCAGGACAGCCACAGATGTAACAACTTAAGCAATAAAGCACACAACCTACCATTAACAAAAAGGTTTGCCAAGGGCTGACGCACTGGAAGCGCAAGGGCCTGTTTCTTCTCCAGGCTGGAGAAGGAGGCAAACAACAGAATCAAGGTGAAATGGCCAAGAAGACTTTTTTTGCCAGTTATTTTAAGCAAGATAAAATAGAAAGATGAAGGGTATTTTTAGTAAGGGTATTTTCTAAGAATCAGTAAGTATTCTCTCAGTCACACCACTGAAACCTCTTAGAGCCTTGGGAAGATGCCAGAGACTAAAACAGGACTCTAGTGACAGAGTCACAGTAGTCACCTACATCTTACCTAGTCTACAAGAAACCTATGCCATCAAAGCAGAGAAGTAGGCACATCTAGAACATGATTTATATGGTTTATTTTAGATATTAATTCTGCGACGAGATAGAACTCTGTTTGGCAGTGCCAATTCCTCTCCAGCATCTATAAAGGTACCTCACAAAACTGGCTCTGAGGCAGACGCCCACAGTTTCATGGGGAGACTCCTCAAAGAGGAGATATACACGTGTATATATAAAAAAACCCAGAGGCAGAGCAGGGAAGTAGAATGGGACTGGACTTCAACACAGTTTATATATATATATTTTCTAGATTTAAGGCTGTCAGCATGGTCCTATGGCAGATAGGACGTGCTCCCAGAAGGTGGCTAGGAGCTACGGATCACCTCAGGATCACTGATTTAAGGCTACCTCACTCTCTTTCCCATCACTGATGCTCCTGCAGGACCCTCTGCCTGCTGGGCTTTTTCCATGTCTTGGTGCAAGCTCCGTCCGAGAAGGATCCTCCGCTGTCCTAAGGGTTAAAACACTCACCCCGTGGCCGCTGGAGTTCAAAGAGGGAGACAGCACAAGTATGCCCCCTATTTCGGCAGCTGAGATAATACTCAATTTTATTTCTAGGCCGAGATAAAAGCGATAGATTAAAAACAAAATCAGACAAGCATCCAGCCTGGACGCTGCGGTGCGGCCCTGGGCCGGCTGCACCCACCGCAGTGTCCTAGTGCAGCTCTGGTTCTGCCCCTCAGCTGGCACAACCCAATGAGTGCAGTTGCAGAGGGATAAAGGTCCTCTACAGCACTGAGGCTAAACGAGCCCATTTATACTGCTCTAACTACATTCACGCTAGGGTATTGGTGCTGTTTTAATGACAGCAGCGCAGCTGAAGCAACGCAACTTGTGTCTACAGACAAAACCTTAGCTTAATGGTAATTAAGAGAGACATTTCCAGCCACCCTGAGCAGCTGAGGTTTATATTAGAAATACCGACTGACCCACAACGATTTGCAACATCAGAAGCCTCTAGAAAATGGCTCCATCTTCAATTACTTTTGCCACACTGTGAGGAAGGACATTTATTATGCCTGTTTTCACAGGAGGGGAAAAAAAAAAAAAGCCAAACTAAACCCCATTTCCCATCAGAGCACTCTAAGGGTTAAACATAACTCGAAAACCCAGAAAACCAGATTGTGCTTTCTGCTGAGACTGAACGTGCCAAAAGACTGCTGAGCCCATCAGTGAGATAATGTACAAACATTTTGCTTAGCTTCATACACTCGGTCTCTTTATCTCTTTTCTCTGAATAATACTAGAACAATCGCAGGGGAAACAGCAGGAAAAAAAAAAAAGTCCAGAAAATACCAGATCTAATAAATAGCAGGATGTCAATTTGGGCACTTAGGACTTCAGGTGTTTGACAGTCAGAGACCTGAGGCACACAGGAGCTTAGTGACTTGCTCAAGGTCAAACATATATATGTGTGAACAAGGAAAGATTGAATCTCTGCATGCAGATACTAGAGCAGCACAAACCCTGCACTGATCGGGAATCTAAATACATGGAGTCCTCCTTTCCAATTTTCTTCCACTCTTCCACATGCTTGAGTTGGTCATGCAACATTACAATAGACAAGGTGCACTTATCACATATAAATATATATACGGCATGAACATCTGAAATGAGTAAGAAACAGATGGGTTTATTGAATACCTTTGAGTAAAACAGGCACCCCCCTCCCCCCCCATTTTGGAGTCCTTTTTTTAATTTTAGAGCTGAAGAGGGCAAAAAGATATATATCTTACAGGAAGAAGACCTGTACGAATTAAATCAGTAATCTTGGAGATGTGAAACATCACATGGGATTCAGTTTGAGATTATGACACCCGAATTGAGGAGCCTCCATGGCGGGATAGGCCTCTCACCAGCACTTGTTCAATTCCGTTGCCTAAACAGAGTCTAGGGCTTAGGGCACTTCTGTTGGCCCCTGCTGCCACATCAGAAGGACGTGGACGTGTGCAGGTCCCCTTGTATCCTTCAGCCCTTTGCTCAGATACCCAAGGGCTTCTCAGCACTCAATGCCAGTTTGAGGTACTGATTTGAGTTCCCATTTGAAGGCGAAAATGTTACCTTGACTTGCATGTGTTCTTGGCAAACACATGAGTTCTTGGCAAAATGAGCAACGGGTCTGAGCTGCAGCATCTCTCACTGAACAACGATTTAGGGCCCAACTTTGAGGGACCTTGATTTCATTTTCATCCTGTTCTCCAGACTCTATCTACTGTAGAGCAGTGCTAATTAATACTGCTCATCAGCAGTGACAGCCTCTCCACACAACTGCTTTTTGACAAAGTTTGGCATTAAATGAAGCGATTTTTTTCACAAAATCACAGCTTTCCAACACTTTTTTTTTTTGGTGAAAATATGCACAGTTCTACACTATAGTGCTTTTAATTTACATATTTATTTCCAAAATTAGAAGATGGGTATTGGAGGATCCCACTGTGCTTTCACATAGTTTCTCTTCAGGCTCCTCTTCAGACCAGGCCATCATGGCAGATGACAAGTTGACCATGAGGCAGCAGTGTGCCCTCATGGCCAAGAAGACCAATGGGATCCTGGGGTGCATTAAGAAGAGCCTCTCCAGCAGGTCGAGGGAGGTGATCCTGCCCCTCTACTCAGCCCTGGTGAGGCCACATCTGGAGTATTGTGTCCAGTTCTGGGCCCCACAGTACAAGAGGGATGTGGAGCTGCTGGAGAGAGTCCAGCACAGGGCTACAAGGATGATCAGGGGCCTGGAACATCTGCCCTACGAGGAGAGGCTGAGGGAGCTGGGCCTGTTCAGCCTGGAGAAGAGAAGGCTGAGAGGGGACCTGATCAGTGTATATAAATACCTCAAGGGAGGGAGTGAGGAGGATGGTGCTGGTCTCTTTTCACTGGTGGCCACCAACAGAACTAGAGGAAATGGCCAGAAAGTGAAACACCAAAAGTTCCACAGGAACTTAAGGAAAAATTTCTTGACAGTGAGGGTGACAGAGCCCTGGAACAGGCTGCCCAGAGAGGTTGTGGAGTCTCCTTCTCTGGAGATCTTCCAAACGCGCTTGGACGCAGTCCTGTGCCACGTGCTCTAGGTGTCCCTGCGTATGCAGGGGGGTTGGACTAGATGACCTCTAGAGGCCCCTTCCAACCTTAAGCATTCTATGATTCTATGATTCTAAGTTCCTACAGACCATACATCCCATAATGTAAGCAAGGCAAAAACTTGTGCTCGGAGCAATCCACGAGCAGGCTGCCCATGCCGGAGCTCTGCGAGCAGGCAGCTGGACTGCTCTTCTCATAAGACCCGTGAGATCTTTTCAGTTTTGACTCTTCAGCAGAACTCAAGCTTGTATATGGCCCTTTTAAACAGAAAAAGAGGACTCCAGCTCAGACCCCCTCCTGCTTTCTACTACAATTCATAACATTGTGGCATGTCACCAGTTGAAACTCTACCCTGCAGAAGGGATTTCTTGGCTGATACATATTTGGTTTCTGTACCCCTGTCATCCCTTGGCTGTGTGACAGCCCAACTTGGGAGGCCTCAGAAACTGAGTCAGACTGTTACCAGCCCTTCAAAGAGTGGATGCTCACGACTGCACCCATGTATATATATATATTTTCTTGCCCTTCTCACTATGTAACATTTGTATGTGTGCAGGAAACCACAACATTAACTGCTGAGTGCAAACTGCTGGTTTTAACCTGCAAGGAGGAAGTGAAGTGTTGGCTTTGGACAGGCAGCCTGGGAGAGTCGTCTGCCACACGGATATTGGGTCTCATTTCTTGTTCCACGCTCAACAGGAATTTTACCTCCAGGAAAAAACTGCCTTAAATGAAGATGTTTGCTACCTCTATGTTATAATACCAGCTAAGAAAAAATATCTTTCTGGTAACTTTTTGGAAACAGCATATTGCCCACAAGAAAAAGATTAGTACTTCAACTAGTATGAAGTCAAACATCGGGTAGGATGCAAGTCACTTGCCTAATGCTGGCCAAGGACATTTGGGGGTCTTTTCTAAGAGAGCCCAGTCTTCTGCTGTGAGAGGCACAGGAGAGGCTGAAAGGCAGCGGGTTTCGCCTGTCTCTCTCCGCTGACTACAGGGAGTCTCGATGTCTGGCTTAGTGCAGATATGTAGCTCTTAAGCGGCTGCCTTTAATTAATCCCATCCTTCATGGCTAGCTAGGAGTCCACAATAAAACTGCCCTCAGTGCTCCTTGCTCTTCTCCCGTCTTCCCTTGCCCATTCAAACATATTCATCAGGCTGCGGGTAGCAGCATACTGGTATTCAGAAGTCTTGGTTTCTTTTGGCAGTTCAGTCCTGAGGTTTAACTGTTTATACAGGAAGACTTAATGAGTACAGTTACTTGTGTGAAAACACAAGCATCTGTGGTTGTGATTATGGCTAAATTCAGCTTGCCTCCTCAGCTGTCAATAGATTATTAAATTCTAAAAATCAAATTAAAATTAAATTACTTCCCCTAATTACCATGGGATTATTCTGAGCAGTCTGGAAAGGGTGACCTGCACCTTTCAGCCACGAGCGCGGCTTCCCCGTGACCTGTCACCCGCAGCATCACGGAACAGAAATAACTGGGAAATTCCCTCCGATGTCACCTCTGGGATTGGGCTTGCCGCTTCTCGAGGCTGTCATCGTGCTCGCGCCTGCTCTCAGTACTGGCACAGGACCTGCTCGTACCACGCTGCATTATTAGCAAGCTGTCAGACACAGGCAGCTCGGAGCCCGGCTGCCAACGCCGAGAGAGTTATAGGGGTAATAACGTTGTTAGGTAGGTAAAAATAACTGAACTGCTAGTGTGAAAAAACAAAAACAAAAGCAAAAAACCCAAAAAACACATCAACCCCAATATTTGGCTGAATGCTATTTCACTGCCTTCCCCGGGCCAAGTTCAGGAGCTGGGTTTATGAGATAGCTAAAGAGCAATTATTTACTTGTGGAATTCTCCCTGGAAGCCTACAGGGTTTGTGTGTGGAGAGGGGAGGAATTGATTGCTATGTTTTAATCACGCTTTATAGGCTGGACAGTGTCTGCAAGCTGAGACCTGTGTAAGGACTTGACTGCAATCTACACCACAACGGAAGTGGAGGCCTCACAGCGCAGATCCAAACTCCGGATGCCTTTCCTGCTTCCCCCGTGCTTCCCAGCAGCCGACATTGCTCTGGGTCTGCGCCAGGAATAAAACCCGGCATGTCTTCCCTGTCGCCCTCAGCTCGGGCCTTGTGGAGCGTCGGAGGCAGGAGAGCAGCCGCCCACGCGCTGCCCGTCCACCTGCTCGCGGCCCCGCCATGGAGGTAGGCCGCAGCCCAGGCCTGGCGCCGCGCGCGGAGCAGCCTGCCCAGGCGGGGCCGTTCGCACTCGCTCGCAAAAAAATATCTAGCACAAGTCAAAGTCCAGCTGTCAAACAGTTCATTCGTTTAAACCATCTTCCCCTGCAGAAGGAACAGCCTCTCAGTTCAGTTTTCAGCCTAACACCTCATTCAAATCTCTCCTGAAGCCCATAAAAAATCTGTGAAAGGCAATAAATATTTTAAAAAGAATAACTCCAAGTGACTTCCCTCTAACAAACCTCCCAGAGTATCCTTTACTCTGCCTATCCTGTTTCCATTGTAAACCCAGGACAAGGGAATACCATCAATTTGCTGCAAGGACTGATCAACTATTACAAAGACAACAGGAGAGTAAAACAATTTAGGAGGAAGTCGAACCATTTAACAGCTGACCTCCCTTCTGCGCCTGTAAATCAATAGTCCAAATTCTCCCTCCCACAGCTACTGAGGCTTAGGAGTTTGTTTGCTCAGCCTGCTCCACTTGCCTGCATCCACGTGGGCATTGCGATGTAGGACACGTGGAGTGGAGTCATTCCAACGGGAACGTGCTCTATTAAATGGAAATAAAGTATGAGAGCCTATTTCCTATCCTCCCCAAAAAGACTGAGTGTAAGATTTATTTGCAGAATACAATTTAGAAAACTGAACATAATCCGTGTCACTTCCAGCAACTCTGAGGAATTTATTTCTGCAGTATTTATTTCTGGCTCATACAAATGGCCAATACTTAACTTGAAAGGGGCATTTTAGCCACACCATCTTGTTACACTGGCACTTAGGAAAACATTTTTTGCAAATGACTGCCCTGATACTGAGGATGTGTTTACAGAAAGGCATAAAGACTAGGTAGATGCTGAACCTACAAGAGATAAATGGTAATTCCCCCCAAAAAAAATTGGGAAAGAAGATGGGATTCTGGGAAAGAGGTACCTGACCTCTTTTCATACTGAGGACAGATATGCATTTTCTCAGATACGGTGTCTTTCCAATTAACCGCTGCACATAAGTTTGTCTGATGCTCTGCAACCACATGGAGATGTCTCTGGCTACAGTTCAAAGCCCACAGCAAAAGACCAGCAGCAGCTGGAAGACATCTCCTGCAAGAAGAGGTGTCTGGCTGCTTGGGCCACTTCTTCATAGGCAATACCTGGGACTTCACTAGCTGTGAGGGGTGCATGCAAGAGTGTCCATTCATCTCCAGGGAATGGAAATGCAAGGAAATCCATGCTGAGAGAGCAAGGAGGGATACAGGGCTGAAGTCCTCCATGATCTTTACAGACACTTGGGCAATGTGAGAATCCGGCTGTCACTGCTCTTCACAGAACTCGGGAGACACCTACAATGAGACAGAGTGGGCAAAACCGCTCCTCTGCTCCTCTCTAGTGCTTCTCTTTGGGTAGAAAAGGGGGGAATCCAGACAAGGAAAATACTCGCACAACAGGTAAGCCAATGTGTAAACGTGTGCAGGAGCAGAGCTGTGAGGCTCTAACGTTTACAGCCTTGGGGGGGGATGTAATAGGCCTCTTTGCTGAACAAGGATGGAAAGAAAGCAAGGAGAAGCCATGGTGACAAGCCGTCTACCCACATACGAGGTAGCTGATAGATTAGATGGACTAGTCTGACTCTCCTACTGAGCGCAAGCTTAAAAGACAACCTCTGTACCTGATACAGCTGTCAGAACATGATGGGTCCTGCTAGGCAGTCGATCAAGCTGACAACTGCACTGGTTTCTCCTTTGCTTGTGTTGCTCCAAGGAGTTATCAAAGCTGCTGTCAGCTAGAGGCCATCATTTAAATTTGGGGATCAGGAATATCCTTCCTCAGCAGTTTCACAGGCACCTGTGTTTGCACACAAGATCGTTTCCTGTTTGCAAACAAGATATTTTCTCAGCCTAAGTTTATCTCAGACCCACAACTTTGCTGGCCCATCTGGTCTTAAGACATAATTCTTGGGCAACTATCATTCTCCTTACTCCTAAAGCACTGCACTCTTTGCTTATTTAGTTAAGCTAAAGAATGACCTAGTTTATTCTATCGTCAAAAAGGAATTTTACAGAAATCTGCTTGTTCCTGTGAAGATGCTTATTCTTTATGGCCAAAGACTGAAAAAAGGTCATGAAATAAACCTTTTCTTATCCCTAATACATCCTCACGTGCACAGAGCTAACAGCGAAACTGGTAAGTGAATGTCACTTGCAAACAACAACATTTCTAAATGTATGTCCTGTCAATCTTTCTCTTTTTTTTTCCTTAAAAAAAAAAAAAACCCTAAAGACTAGACTACTGGGAAAGTGACCAGAAGCGCACCCACAGCCCTGAAACACAATTTTCATATCTGTTTTTCTAAATAAATAACTGCTTCCTGCCAAAATGCAGTTTGCAGAGAGAAGCAGAACAGCATACAAGAAAGTATGATTAATTACCAATATTATAACACCAAGGCAAAAGTTCAGTGTAAAAGCATATGCACGCTGGACCAAAAGAAAGGATTTCACAAGCTTGACGCGTAGCTTCCATATCTACACATCTTGATTTTTAGTCTCTGCACAGAATGTTTTCTTTCCCCCTCTCTCTCTTACACACATACACATCAGGAAATCAAATGTGGGCAACTTGTAGCCATATGGACAGAGTTTCTTTGATTTTCAAGAGAACTTAAAAGCAATAGTTAATATTTGTCCACATGAAAGTGGGGATCTGCCACGGCTATTTCAATCTAGCTGGCTTGCTAAAAGTTATTTGTGGGATCTCCATCCTAAGCTGCACTGACATCTGCCTGCACCTGGAGGGTATGGAAAGGGGATAGAGAAGCAAGGAGGAAGAAGTGAGAGAGGAGCAGGCAGCAAGCTGAGCTCTGCGGGTCTGGGCTAAGGAAACCCCGCTGCAAGGGCAGCACTGCTGAGCTCCAAGAAGATCCTCAGATCCTTCCGAAGAGCCGAAACTAGGGCAAAAAGGTACTGCTTTCTTCTACTGTTTGAAGATACCATAATCCTCACATAACACAGAATACAATGCAGCTATTTTTTTTTATTATTGATTCAGGACCAAAATAGGAGATGCAAGTTTGAGAAAAGCTGTAAGTGGGTCAGCATATCTCCAGATTGCGCTCCGGGGCATTAAATATAAATCTAGCTACAAAAGCAATGGAAAGATGGCAGTGAAAAACAACAACAACAAAACCCACAATTTTTCTGATTTTTAGGTTCTGTAGGGGAAATCTTCAATAAGATTTACAGGGTGATAATGTGACGTTGTACAGCTAGACGCTCACTCTCCAGATCACTCTGCAGATTTACACTAGTTTAACTCCGCTGACTCCACGGCTGCCACTTCTCATTCATGCTATTGTAACTTGGACAAGAATTAGACCTGGCATCCTGATGCAATTTTAATTAACCATTCAACGCAAAACCTCAAGAACATTTAAAAAACTGCAGAAAGCATGAGTGAGTGCATCGAGGAACCAGTTGGGAATGCTTTAATTCTGAAACAAAGAGACACTGTGTCAAATGTGTTCCTGAAAGCCTGAAACAGCCCCAAAGAACACATCACTGACACAGAAAATTACTAAACATTTATAAATAATACAGCACGCTCAAACCTATCACGCTGCAAACAAAACAGATCAGCAAGCTATCAAGTAGCTGATGAGAGGGGAATACATCAAGTCAGGCAGCCTGTAGTGAGCCAACTGATGACAACTGGTGTAAGCAACAGGGCAGGTGAACCTGGGTTTTAACAAGGGATATAACAAGGGTGGCTCCAACGGGGCTAGCCATGTTCTCCTTCTTGACTGTTCTTATAGCTACACCACGCTTCAGCTCCACAGCTACAGCCACTGCTGGCACGCGTCAGCCGTCGCAAATTCTGTGAGAAAACGAAGGTAAAGGGAATGGGGTATAGCCCTGAAAAGCAAAATTTAGATGCCAGAGATAATATCCAACAGCAAAAAGGAAGTGACATTGAAAATAAGCTTCATGGATAAAAAGACAAATGCAGTCAAGAAATCCTTACTACTACTAAAAGGCTCTCTGAAAGGATATGTCTATTATGAAAAGCAATATAATTGGCTCTCTTGAAGTTTGAATGTCACTCAAAGAGTTTAGCAAGACAAAGAAGTCATAAATTATATGGAGGAGATTCTTTCCCCCAAGCAGTGCTGAACAATAACGCTAGATAATAGGTAGTAAAGCTAGAATTTAGAGCTTCTGTCAGACAGAAATTAAAGTAAACCAGCATTGCTTTATTTACAGGATTTGATCTCCAGTGTCAAAATCATCACTGCCTGAACAAAATTGTTGATGAAATGGTGTAGTTAACTGCAAAGAAAGAAAGAAAAAGATAACAAAATCTAGCTGTATTAACTGAACTAAGATGTAAAATCCACATCCTTTCTCTTTTTCATGCTCCCAGGTGCCACAGGAAAACTGATAACCTCATAATTTACTCTGAATTTGGCCCTGTTGCCTGTTTTCCAGGACAACAGAATGACAAGGCTGTGTTATCTGGTACAAGCCCTTAATTGCTTTCATTAGGTAATTCCAACAAAATGTAACATAAAGGTGAAAGTCTCAATGATACTCATTTGAGATACAGAATCCCAGTGTGGTTGTGGTTGGAAGGGACCTCTGGAGATCATCTAGTCCAACACTCCGCTGCTCCAGCAGGGACACCTAGAGCACGTGGCACAGGGTGGCATCCAGGTGGATTTGGAAGATCTCCAGAGAAGGAGACTCCACAGCCTCTCTCGGCAGCCTGTTCCAGGGCTCTGGCACCCTCACAGGAAAGAAGTTCTTCCTCACATGGAGATGGAACTTTCTGTGTTTCAACTTGCACCCATTACCCCTTGTCCTGTCACCAGTCACCATGAAGAAGAGCCTGGCCCCATCCTCCCTACAATCACCCCTCACGTACTTGAACATGTTGATCAGATCCCCTCTCGGTCTTCTCCAGGCTAAACAAGTCTAGCTCGCTTAGTCTTTCCTCATACAACAAATGCTCCAGTCCCTTAATCATCTTTGTGGCTCTCCACTGGACCCTCCCTAGA